GAAATGGCTTTAAAATGAGGCCAAAGTCCCTGAACTTTATTAGCGGCCAAATTTTACCAAAAATGAAAAGAAGAGTTTTGTCACATTTCCTGATACATATACATGTACTTATGTTGTGTAGAAAGTTTGAGCTGATTCCGATTAAGTTTGGATTTTTTATGAATTTTTAAAGTTGCTCCAAAATTGAGCCAAAAGTCCCTGTACTATGCTGACCAAAATTGAAAAGGAGAGCATTCCCCATTTCAATACATTCCCTGATACATATACTTCATTACGTACATGTTCTTATAGCATCCAGATGCTGATACTTTATATGTTGAAAAGATTGATGTTGGTGATAAAGGTAAATGGGTGTGGTTAATTCTATTTTGACTCCGCCCCTTCCCAGAGCCCCGTACTGTTGTGAGTGGACTAGTGAAGTACTTTAAAGAGGAGGAACTGCTGGGGAAGAAAGTTGTGATGCTTTGTAATATAAAGCCAAGCAAAATGAGAGGTACTGCATGTGATCATAATGGACATTGTTGGATCTAGAATTAACTTTATTTGGGAGGTCATTCTAACTAAAAATTGGAGATTTAAGGACCCCTGGGGGCTGGGGCTAAATGTGAGAAATCAAAAGTCTCCTAAACTCCCTCTAGATCTAACAGTGATAATGAATCAATTTAATACCGTATAGCGGGAAATTTTCGAGGATAACAAGTTTTGCAGATTTTTTCATGATTCGCAAAATTTAATTCCTTGAAAATCAATTTAATACAATACAAGATGGCAAATTAGTGGAAATTCACGAAAATTAATTCCGCAAACTTCCGGATACGGGTCATTCGCGAAATTTATTATCCTCGAAAAAACCTGCTATACGGTAGTAGTTTTTATCAGTGTATGCATGTAGCTATTATCAATAATCACATTTTATTTGTATTCATTGTTACTGCAGGTATTGAATCACAGGCAATGTTACTAGTAGCTTCACTGAAGTAAGTAAAGTTTTACTTCACTGAAGTAAAATCCTGGCGTAGCGAGGATTTTTGGAAAGGAGGGGTAAGCTGTGGGGCGCGCGAAGCACGCCGCAAAATTTTGCAAAACCACGCCCTTTTGGGGGCGTGGCCACACCTAATTTTCAACATGGTGGACTTCTTGACCGATCATAGGCAACGTTGAATACCTTTTCAGCCTTATAATGGCATCATAGAAAGACTGCTTTGGCCTTTTCCTTTCATATGTAAGTTGTAGAACAGCTTTTCCTTCCAAAAGCAGCTTATTATTTGATTATTTTAAAATTTTGAGTTTTAAAAAAGGAGGGGCAATTGCCCCCCTTGCCCC